ATCATAATTATGTGGTTCTGTTTGACTTTCAAATTAGAGTTATTAATGCATGTATGTGCCACTAAGGTTGCTGCTTTACTGACACACTTAGCATCCTTACTCCTGCAGGATCTGAGCTGGAGGTCCAGCATGCAAACTGCAGCACGTTAAATAATCAACATCATGAGTAAAACCCAAAAATGTAAGCTGTGAGAGAGAGATAAAACTGAAATGTAAGTTTCCTAGAGCAGATTTGAAAAAGATAAAGGAAGAGTGAAGGAAAGAAAATAACAAACATTTGAAAGACTAGTGCAATGCTCAGGATGTAGCCTAAATTGGTGGAAGGACTGACATTGCCTGGTTCTTATTTTCCTCCCAAGTATGATCACAGACTTGTTTCAGGTAACAAAACCCAGTAGTATCACCACAGAATTCCCAGGATTAATGGTGATTGTAGCAGCCATGATAGGTTTTATAACCTACTGCCATTCCATGTAAACCCACCAAACTGTAAAGAAGGGAGAAGTTATGTCATCCGCACTATCCAACCAAAACAGAAAGAAGATAAATATTTTCTCCTACTTGTACAACCTTCCACAATGTATATTTATCAGAGGTCTTAACACCCACTTGAAAACATACTCACATTATTTAAACAATGACATTTGTCCCAGCCTGTCCGTCTGTTGAGTTTGAAAAACTGTTTTATGTAACTAGTCAGTTTGGACTTCTGTTATTTCAAACAAGTTGGAGCACATGCCTCTTAAGAGTAAAAGTGCTAATTTTAGTTAACCTTTGGTATGTAACGGGATCACAGTAGAAGCTAAACTTGACTACCGGTAATTTTAGATTATTATTATGTTTGGATGATAATTTGTCTCCAAATATGTAGCTGCACTGTTTTCAGTCTAGACCCCCTAGTGGGGTCATATTAATTGTACTTTGTTACCTTCACTTAGTTATTTCTAAATCCAATTTAAACTTGCCCTCATCTTTTCATAAACTCTGCCAAAGTTCAGTTGAAGCTTTCTTTGTGTTCTAATAACATCAGTATTCAGAGTCAATGGCTGTATTATCATCTTACCAGGAACTTTCTTTACTTAAAATTGCTCTCTCTTTTTAACAGCCTTTGCCATGTCTGGCTTGTAATTATTTGAACATTATTTTACTACAACACAGTGTAGCAAATGCTCTACTGTATGTTTTGCATAACTGGTTAAATAGCTAATGCATGGCTAAGAAAATTCATGGAAGTAAAGGAGATCTGATGAGAGGCTGTGGGAAACTGTTCATTTCTTCTACCTTTTACCTTTGCCCAGATAACACCTCAATGAAGACTGTACAGATAGAATTTTCATAACATTTGAAAGGAAGAAAAGCTGAAAAACTTTTAAAATCAGAAATGTAAGCAAAAGTTTTCAGTGTAGCTTGAAACATGTCTTCATTGAAAAAGCCATACAGTTAGTTATGTTTGCTTTTTCTGACTGCCCTCAAACCTATCTTCGAAAATACTTTTTGTAGTTGTGAAGTTATTTTTTTTTAATTTTAAATGCCTTCTAAATTCCCATGCTTTTCCATGAGAAGGGCACAAATTTGAACTCAGCAGGCTTTGAGGTGAGAACAGAGCTTACAGGTAATTGCTACTAAAGCAGCATTAGTTTAAAAGCAAAAACTTCTCTGAAACTTTTGTTTCACTTATCACATGACAACAAATAAAATTTTAACTGAATACTGTACAAAAAGAAGATATTTACAACAGAGGAGGCTGCCAGTCTCAGGAGTTGATAGCACTGTGCAGGATACACTGTTTAGTGCTTAACCAAAAACCCCCATCAATTGACTGCAACACAAAAAAGGATCCAGCTCTACTGGCAGAGGTTTTGTAGCACACTTACATCCTTATTCTATGCTTCTTATTGTGTACCACATTGTTATCCTGAGAACTAGTCCCTTTCAAGTCCCAAGTATTCAAACATGCTAGAAAAAAGTAAGACACTACTGAAAATTATGACCATCAGGAGGACATAAGAAACCAGAGAAACAGAAATAGGATTTTCTTGCTGCTTTGCTGAGCTGTAATGCTGCTGAAATTGTCACCCCAATGTCACTGTGCCCTTTTAGTCTAGAAGTCCATCTTAAGTGAGAAACAACAACATCCTTCAAGAATTAATCCTTTCAGAGACAGACACTTGCTGGTTTTGCCACAAGAATGAAGAGCACACAAGTTTCTGTATTGTAGCCTATCAAGAACACAAAGAAAAGAACTATTTAAAAAATGACAATTCCTCAAGAAGTTGAAATTTCCTCTGGAATTCAGAATAACCAAGAAGGTGGAGAGGGAGCTGAGTAAAAGCTTTTATTTCACCAAGGAAACCTGAACTACATCCAAGAAAACTGGACCTTCTCTGTCCACAGCAGACTTCCAAGAAATCACGTAGTTACTCCAAAGTTCACCTGCCTCTGCTGTCAGTCATGGTCTGAAACACAGTTTTGCCACAGCAATCTGTTATTTTGCCCCTGGTTTAGCAAGAGTCCTACAGCAAACAAATCCCCTCTGAGTGATCATCTAGCTACTACTGTTTATTTGGAAGCATTTGGATCCATGAAGTACACTTCAACTGGTGGTGCTGTGCAAGCACACTGCCCAAGGGACAAGGGCAGCATCCCAGAAGCAGTGCAATGGCAGAAAGCAAGTACAGAATTTTCAAGGCAACCATGGAGCTCTCAGGCTTGTTGGTTCCAGTCTACTTAGCAAGGGATGTTGCCATCCATTTACGCTGGAGAAGGACCAGCCAGCAAGAGCACCTGTTAAAGCATGTGAAGACCTGTCTGCACTCCAAGAGATGGGGCTCAGGTTTGTTGGACTCAGGCTACAGAACAGCAAAAGCCCACCATGCATTGCCTGGTCACAGTGAAGCATTCCACAGGCAGCCTACAGTACTGCTTCAAATAAAGACATCTGCCTGAAAAAATGCTGAATTTTGTAGCTGAACAGGCCAATTTAGTTTCCTAGAGGGCTAGGATTACAGACTAATTTCTGGAGCAGTCTCCTGTGACTGCCAGGTGAGGAGCTGTACCTTCGAGCTCTGCTGGACTACAAGAGTAGTGAAGGGTTTGTACAACAAAAGCCCCAGGAACCACCAGTGTTTCCCAGCAGCTGATCCCTGCCTGAAAAGAACAGACTCCCTATAATCTAGAACAAACGTCACCATGCACAGCAGCAACTGTTTTGTAGGGAGAAAATGCACACCAGTCTGCCACGTGTAGCTACAGTCTGGAGTAATAGCAAGGAGTAATTACTGCAGTAATCATATCAAATTAATTAAATCTGAAGTTTGAATAGCAACAGTCATTCTCACCTCATAAAATTATGATGCTTTACTTCATGCTGAACATACTGCATCCCACACAGAGCCAGTACTCTGAGTAAGATCATTAATCATCATAGACAAGGTTTACTGCATAAGAATGAGAGCACTGTTCTAAATCTAGCTACTAGTAGTACCACAATTACAAAAATCAGTATTACTATTAAGCCATTTCCACATTTAGTAGCAAGGGATCATTTTTGTTTATGAAGTGGAGAACAGCTCCAAAGCCATTCACAAGCAAGTCAGAGAGAATTTTGCAGAGGGATGCTGGGACTTGATCAGCTATCCCATTGTGACAGAACCCTCCTATTATACTAAATTACCATTTTTTCCACTGTTGCCACAAGAACTGGTCCAAACTACCATGATAGAGGAAATCAGTGTCAGAATACTGCACATTAATCTCCTCCCTGTAAGTCACTCAAACATGGTCATGGCTGGTCCCAGTTTGTGACGCCAAAGACTCAGAACAAGAGGAAGATGACCATGCATCATAGGTCTCAGTCACTAAACAAAGTTTAAACAGAACCAGATCACTCCCATTTTCAAAACTTCCTGACCAAAATAAGCACCATATGTTCTGAATTATGCTTCCAATATTTATATATTAGTGAATTTATGCTAATAAGAAACAGAATCAGTATTTTCCTGAAGCACGTTTGTTACATAACCAGGATAGCTTACTTCATAGGTTCTTCCTATAGCTCTACAAACTCACAGCAACAAAAGCCACCTCATAGTACAATATTAAGAGCATAACTCAAAATATTTAGGAGCTGTTATTTAAAAAGCATTCTTCTGCCACAAACCACCAGCACCTCCCCTTACATTTTCTAGAAATATACTGCTGTCTTAAGGAAAAAAATCCAGCCTCAGGAATCTTTCCTTCACACTGCTGCTTCCAACTCTCCCAATGTCAAGGGTAATTCAGTAATAACTTCTGCAGTGACATTGCACTGTTTAGCAGTTATGATGGTTTTACTGCAAGGTTAATAAACAGAATATAAATGACAAGGAAAACAGCTTTTATTTCAGCATCTTCTCAACAGTAGCACAAAAAATGAGGAAAATAGAGCACAGAATTTATTTACTAATAGTTTCCTTGACTTTTTCCTTTTTGAGTTTTCTTTCTCTTTCTCCTTGGCTTCAGACAACACATTTCCAAACAATTTGTTAGAATTTTAAGACAGGTTAAGCCATTGGTATAAATTAGATCCCAGTTCAAAAATATTATGTAAAGTGCTCCTATCAGGACTTTTTCAGCTCAAGGAATGACTTTTATTTAAGCATTTTAAAAAACAGTATTTTGTGAAGCAGACACAATAATCAGATAAATAATATTTCAAACATCAGTACAAACTCATTTATAAAACCTTTCCAGAATTCTTCTGAAAAAGGGTCTTCAGCTGATAAAAATAAATTCTATTAATTACCCTGAAAACCAGACAGGTATAACCAGGATCCAGTCACTGGATAAGATCTTTCCTGTGTTAAGTTTTAGTTCCTTTTCTCATTTCACACTCAGCCATTAAAGCACATATATAGCTAAGTACATATGTGGCTTTAAAGATGCACGTAAGAAAAGTCAGATATTTCAACTCCATATTTTTAGCTATGGAAACAGGTCCATAGATCCACAGTTTTACCAACAAGCACAGATGAAGGACATCACTTCCTGAAGCGTTTGAACAGTGGGTGGATGTGTTTGTTTGCAGAAGCCTTGCTCCGTGAGGAATGGTATTCCATGTAAACTGTATCATCTGCTCCTGACATGGAGCTCATTGTGCCTGTACGACGTGACATCTGGGGAGAAAAACCAAAAGCTTAGTGTGTGGTTAGGCAGACCATCTCTGACATACTGATACCCACTGTCTACTATGCAGCACTGTTCATTTAGGGACCAGAATGCCAAAAAGCCTCCCAGGGCTTTTTTTCTTAAGAATAATTTCTACCAAGACAGTCACCTGCCACTCAGCTGGAGTATACAAACATATATGTAAGGTTTAATATGGAAAGGTGCCTTGGAGTGGGAATTCCTAATGCATTGCAGCACAATGTTACTTAGCTAAAAATTAACCCTAAAAATTGATTACCACATTGTAGCCTGATTTTAATGTATGTATCATTACATGTTTGAGGCTCTTTATTTTTCTTATCTCTTGCTGAAAATGTCAAAGTAGTACCTACTATAATAGTACTTCTCTTGAAATTGAAAAGTGGCCCTTATGCTTCTGCCCTCTGGGTATAAGGAAATGAGGATGTGATTCAAGGAGCATAGTGACACCACAAAGACTTTGTGCTGCGACTTGTGTTTCTTAAAAATGTTTACAAATATTTTTATTGTGACTTAGAAGATTCACTTCAAAATCTGTAACAATAGATATGTCATCTTCTCCCTTGAATATGATGAAGGAGGAGATGAATCGCATGTTTAACTTCTTGGTAGCACCCAACTTGAGTGAATTACTCAAATAGCTAAGTGTTAACACAGCTTAAAAAATAAATCTGTTCTCCAATGTTTCACAAAGATATGGGGGCATCAATTATGGCATCATATTTAGAATGAAAATGGAATAGGCCATTTCTGTCCCATTTGTGGTCATCCTTTTCAAAGCATTCTTTATTACCTGAGCTGACTTTGAACCATATTCTCCAGCAACTACTTCCTCCTCAGCATCCAGGTCAGATGCTTGCAGGACTTTCTGGAGAAGTTGCTGCTGTTCTTCTTTGGTTGAAAATGAAAGTTCTTCTTCTTCCATGCCAGCGAGCTTTGTTATTACCTAAAAAACAGAGCACAGTACAAGGTGAGTGCTCTTCCTCCTCAGTGTCTGCTAGTCAAAACCAAGACTTCTGAGTCTATACCCTGTTGAAATTGCCTTCATTAATGGTCTGAACAGCTTAACACTATGGATAGCACAGATTATAACAATTTGCTGGGTGGTGTACATATATATATACACACATGTATCCCCTTGTTATATCCTAGCTGGAAACACAAACCTTTGGGAAAAAAACCAAAAGACAATAGCAAAGCTCTGGACAGAGGATGTCAGCCAAATAATGTCCATACCAGCTTGACCAAGAACCTGTCCAAAGGACACAGTTCATATGCATATTCAACTTACTGCACAGTTAGCTTCATGCTATGCGCTTTAGATTTGTTGTGTTTAAGAACCAGTACATTATGTTTAAAAAAATAACCCACTAGCCTTCTAGACACAAATTTTTAGCATAAATATTGAGGGAAAAAACCCCTAGCTTATTAGGATGTACTAAAGGTTATTGAGATACAGTGCAACAACCTGTAACAATGCAGCAGAGCAAAAGGACTGAGTCAAAGTTTGTGTATCTTACTGGCTGTGCTTGTTCTCTGAAATTCTTAGCAACTCATTTGATAACCACCGATGCAGGGCACATGCCATCTACTGGCAACATAGTGACATATACTCCACTACCTGAAAAAACTCTCCTGAAGAATAGAAACACTTCCGGTACAAAGCTTTACAATAGTCAGGTTGCTTTGTTAATTAGAGGTGTTTTGAAAATATTTTTTCCTGCAGTTAAATATCTTCTGGTAAACATATGTTCATACCAGTTTTCTCACCATGTTTTTCAACTTGAACAAGTTTTGAGAAAGACATTGTAATTCAGCCCTTGATTTTGCAGTGCTTCCCCCTCTCATCTTCCTTTTTTAGCTTATCTCTGGAGTCAATGCAATTAGAAACTAATTACCTCAGTCATCTGGGCTGGATCTGACCACAAAGACTGATAAAAAAATATAAATACAGCTTAAGTTAAAACAAATCCACATTAGATGCCAAGTACTGGTTTTGAAACACAGGCTTGTGGGCTGTTGCCAATGGCAATTTCTAATTTGAAAACGGATGTGTCTTCCCGAGGAATGTCCCAGCTATAAGAATCCATTCAGAGAAGCAACCTGTTCTACTATGGCTAAAGGAACACTGTGGTCCCCCCTTCTTGTATATTTAGAAGGGTGTGTGCTATGAACATCTCAAAAACAAAGACAAAGAGCCACTAAAAGCAATTTTAAATTGCATTAGCCTGTTTCCAGTTGTGGTTGCAAAACAGTGCTAACATGATTCATAGAATGGAAAGAATTCCCACTGCATCAGCATTTTTTAAGCTGTTCAACAGATGTCAAGTTTAAAGTTATCCCCAGTTCCTTGATACAGTGAGTTCCTCTGCTATTGGTTGAAAGTTTAATATATCCTAATTCAGCCTCTGAATAAAAACACAATAAGTAACTAAACTATGGTTAGGTAACAAAAAAAAGACCTGCCAGCAGTAAACTCCAAGCAGTGGAGTTTACTGTGATGATAAGGCTCCTATTTAAGAAGCAAAGACAAAATATGTGACTTAGCAAAAAAAAATAAAATTATTCCAGTTCTCTTTCTGATGAAAAGCAGAGAATGGAGATACTGAGAGATGGCAGCATGAAAATAAGTCTTAGGAAAAAAGTTAAAATTAGGAGGAATTTGTTATCATTCCCAGGAGGAATAAATTTTAAGTAATTTAGGAATAAAAATTCTGAAGGAGAGGACATCATCACTGAAATAATTACCTAAAGATGGGGTAGAATCTCCATATTTGGAAGAATAAGAAGGCAAGCATCTGCTGGGAATGACATACAACATAGCTGATCCTGGCTTGGAGTGAAGAAACACAATAGATGGTTTATTGGAAGTTTCTTCCAGCCCTATCATTCTTTGATGCTAGCTATGACTAAGGCTTAAAGTTTGGCAAACTGAAGAAAACAGATATTCTAGCATTTTGTTCGTGAACTACAAATAAAGAACATTCCAGTACTGGTCAGCTAAAATGTTGCTGCAGACACTCAGCTGCTACTTGCACTGCTTTTTTTTTTCCAGATTACACTGAAGTTCCTCGGACCAGGTCTTCCTTGCAAAGTAATATCCCTCTACTGGAACCTCCCTCTTAGCTGTAAAATTCAAGGCATTGAGATATAAGTAAAGGGATTTCTCTAATCTTCTTGGTTACAGCCACATAGGTGCATTTGTTGAGATTAGTTGCATCTTAGTACTGATTTACAATTGTGTCAAAATACATTCACTGCAAAGCAAAACCAGGTTTTCACCTATAAAGACTGTGACATGTTGGTTTTGTTGTAAGGACCCCTCCCCTAAAGCTCTCGTTAATGAGCCAATGATTACAGAGCAATTCTTTACTTCAGCAGAGCTGTAGCTCAGAGAGGTTTTACCCATGAGAATGTCCCATGCTGCATGTAAGCCTCGTGAAGAAAAGCTGTGAAATAGCTCAGCTCAAGTGCAATCCAGCACAGGCTGGTGCCCATGCACCACATGCAATCCCTGCAGGATTTTGCCAATGCCACAAGCTTCAGCCTGTTCCTTAAGGGCAGATAAAGAAGCCTTATATTTTATTCTTCTTCTCAGTAATGTTTCTTACTCTTCTCATCAGAGTAGTAAACTGCAGTTTTGTAAAGGAATTATTTACCTAAAAGCAAGAGCTATCAAGACACCCTGTTTGGCTTTAACAACCCCATCAATAAGCATATAGGGCAGCCCATGGATTAAAAGGAAAATAAATGAGATAAACTGTGAGATCTGTTTGCTTTGGAATAGGGTGCTTTAGCCACAAGGAAAAAAATTTTCTCCTCACAGTGAAATACTGCTCTGAGACTGGAGTTCTTTGGAAATTACTTAGGATGCTTTGGAAGCCTTCTCAATTGCTGCTGGCTGCTATGACATGAACCCCTATCAACAATCCTTTACGCACAACCAATGTGATAACGTGTAACAGGAGACCTGCATGGATGGACAGTTGAAGTGCATGAACGTAAACCAATCAGGCATGTAACATCCTGCTTTACTCCCAGTGGGTGCTTGGTTTGAAGTTGGAACACTTACCTTTCTAGAACCTGTACTAATCTACCTGGATCTGCCCTCACAGCAATATAGACGATAAACCAATACTGGAACAGCTCTTGCTTGCCAGCAAAACCTTCATTAAAACATTCCACCACCAGCATAATAACACAAAAGAATATGAAAGTTATATTCTTAGGCCACAAATATAATAAATAGGAGGGAAAAGTTACCTTGAAGCTATAACCTTGATCTACAAGAAACCGTTGTCGCTTGGTTGAATATGCCATTTCCTGAGTGTCTTGGGATACAAGAGAATAAAAAAAGGCATTGTATTCCTCTGCAACCATGCCTAGGAGACAAAGACACCGAGTGGTTAGCTCCATTTGGAACACTGCAACCAAGAACAAAACCAGAACTGAATACTGAAAATAGGTGTTTAAATAAGTTGTCTCTCCACAAAAACAACCTGCAAAGTTTAGCTGCAGCCACACCTTACACAAACTAACAAAGTACACAGAATGGAAATCCCTACTTCCCTTCTTAATAGGTGAAAAGTCAAAAAACATAAAAGGAAAAGTAGACTAAGGCAATTACACTGGTGCTCTGAGAAGAAACTGCTACCTCATTATTCCAGTCAAGGTGAAAGATAAAATAATTTTTAAGTCTACTATGTAAAGAAGTAAAAAGTGAAGAGCAGGGACTGCAACAAATTAAAGAAGTTCAATACAAAGAGATAAAGGAAAAAATTTACCAAAGTAAACTGGAATTAACAGTGGTTTTACACTAAAAAAGGCAAGACAAAGATACTTAGCAAGTATTAAAAGAAGTGTTTTCTAGAGACTTGCTTTTTACAGCCATTCTATCATTTTTTAAAAAACAATTTCATGTTGAGGAAATTATCAAGGAATGGTA